TATAGTTGTTTCATATTCGTTAGGCGATTATATATAAAAAGGATTTTAAATAATTTTATTTTGTGATATTTGTAAGTTTTTAAGGTTTATTTGTGCAGCACATCCCCACACCTCAATAAGATACACGATGTGATTTCACGAACGAGTTATACAAGGTCATTCGATGTATGCAACCAACTATTCTACGTAACGCACCATTCAAAGCAATTAGTTTCAATCTAACTTTTTCGATGTGACATCTCCAAGTGAGTTTATCATCCAAATGCAGTCTTAAGTATTGCTCTTGGTGCGAGCGGTGGATCATTTCATTATTAATAGTTAGTGATGCGTGCTGAGGGATTGTTTTGTTTTTAGCCTCAAATATTATATAAGAGGTCATTTTTGCATTAATAGTTAGAAGATTACTATGACACCAGTTATTATAGCTATTCAAATCATTTTGTGCTTCCTTAATAATTTCATTAATGTTTTTACCAAAATATAAGAGACAGGTATCGCCCGCATATAAAGTTATGTTTCCTGTTAACCCTATCTTAGTAACATTATTTATTAACATATATTAAAAATAGCAGAGGCCCTAATATTGATCCTTGTGGTATGCCACATTTTATAGGTCGAGGGCTACTGCAATAATTTCCTATTTTTACATACTGAAATCTATTATTTAAGTATGATTCAAGAATTTTTAGTGCATTTCCCGTAATACCCAAGTTCTCAAGTTTACGAATGAGGATAGTGTGGTTGATTGTGCCGAACGCCTTTTTCAAGTATATGAAAATTCCTAATCAGAGGTTTTTGTGGTCGATATTTGTATTTATTTTTGTTATAAGCCCTCTGGTGGCTGAAGGTGTGTTCGATTTGCTTCTGAACCTATACTGGGAATTAGATATGAAATTTAGGTTAGATAAGTGATCATTTATTCGATTGTACAAAACTTTCTCGAAGAGCTTGAATATTACGGGCAAGACAGATATTGGTCTATAGTTACTGGGACCTGTTTTAGTATCCGATTTGTGAATAGGTGTCACTCTTGATATTTTAACGCTATCTGGAAAATACGCTGTAGTAAGGCATTTATTTATGCTTTGTGTTAGATTTTCAGTCAAAACGCTGGCAATACATTTAATGGATTTACTACTTACTCCGTCAATACCTGTACTCGTGTCTGCGTCATCTACAGTGCATGAAGCCATTCTTGTTAATTGATCAATAGGAATACTCTTTTCATAAGTTAAAATGTGTTTTGGATTAGTTTGGTTTGTTTTAGGGATTTTTTGTGATAGTGTGACACCGATAGACGAGAAAAAAACATTAAATATTTCACATATTTCAAATCCATCGTGTACAGTTAAAGAATTAGTTAAACATAAGCCTTGGGGGAGCACAAATATTTTTGACTTTATTAGTAGCTAGGGTGTTTATAAAATTCCATGTTTTTTTTAAGTTTTTTTTTCATATTTTTTGAATTTGCCATAGTAGTATTTTTCTTTGGTGTCCTTGATTAAGACTTACTCTGTTTCTTTCAGCTACAAAGTTTTCTCTTTTTGTCCGGTCTGTTTTCTGTTGTTTCCATATAGTTAGTTTATTTTGTGGATTTCTGTGATAATCGTTCTTTAGTTAACTTTAAGCATTTTCTTTATTGACTCTGCTTTCTTCATTATTAATCTTAATAAAATATTCCACGTTAAATAGTCCAAGTAGTTGCTGTTTTCAAAGTTACCTTCACTGACAGTCTTGTACAATTGATTATAGTCTATAACTGTGTATTTTTCTCGTGTTTTCGGTGCATGATTTTGCTTCAGCAGTTCAAAAAAAATTTGTTTGTGGTCGGCCTTGGGTATATCTATTATAGTAAACTTGAAAGGGTTTTCATTTAGAGTAGAGCAAGCGTGGTCTAAGATGGACTTCTTAGTAACAGTTTCACGGGTGCAGTAGTCTATGTGAATTTTATTCCTAATGTTGTATCCAGATTCTTGTAGTATGTCCAAATATTTCGATTTATCAAATTCATCAGAAAGCAAATCTATATTGAAGTCATCCAGAATGATTCCTCTTTTTCTTTTTTCTAATTGCTCTGAAAAAATATCCAAAGTTCCATTTTTCATTTTCACCTCTCATATATTTCTTCTGTAACTTCAAATTTAAGACTATTGTGGATATATATTGATATTCCTCCTCCATTTTCGTCTGATCTAAAGTTGTATGCATGCGCGTAGTTTGGAATGTGAAATAGATTCGCTACAAATCTTGTTTTAAACAGTTTTTAAACAGTGAGAACCAAAAAATGCACGGTGACACCCACTGCCTTTAAAATACATTTTAATTCGTCAAATTTACCAGCTGATCGAATACTTATTACGTTGGCGTAGAATAACTTAAGGGGGGATTTATTTATGAATATGTTTTGGTTATCATATTTAATAGAGTGAGAGTTAGACACGTTGGTATCCATTACTGGTTTTTTGGCTGAGTTTCAACTATTCGTGGCACACCTTTTATATAATTTATTGTGAGGTTAGACTCACCAGACTGCTCACTTTGCATCAGCTCGGTTTAAGTTTTTAAGATGTCCGTTTTGGCTTGGTGTTTGATTGGCATATAATATGAGACCGGCTTGCAATTTCTGTTTGTTCTGTAATAAGTACTTTACAATGTTCGAAGAATACTTTTATAGGATGAGTATTATCATGGAAGTATTTTCCCAATATTACAGTTTTCAGAGGTTTTGGGCAATCCGTTTTAATTTGTGTGAATGATTTAATAACTTCGTTTAAGTCGTGCTGTTGTCTCATGATTTTCTAATAAGCTGACAAACCGGGACTGTCACAAAAACCTCAATAGATAGGTAGTAGTAGTAGTTTCATTGGGCCTAGCGGGAATCGAACTCTTTTGTTCCTGTGTTTTGAAATCTCACGGCGGGCTACATAGCTCTCGTATTTGCTTAAGAAAACTAATAAACACTGAAAATAAGCTTTTGCACTGTTGTGGACCCCATCTACATTGTAACTAGTCAATCAAAATATTTCATCATTTAGATATGAAAATCTTACAATCCACTTAATTTTCAATTATCGGTTTTGATACAAAAAGAAGTTGGTGAAATATTACTAATATACGCTGATAGACACCCAACATATTCAACTAAAGACATTCTGTCATAATCACAGTTTTGTGTACAGCGATCCTCACTGACCTCATATCATGTCCGTCGATACATCTCGGATATAGCAGGTGTGTAATAAATACTCAAATTGGCGATGGGGAACAGTGTCAAGTATAAGACATCTAGTATAATAGCAATAGTAAATAGCTTCTATAGTAGAAGGATATGACCTAGTTATTGACTAGATAAGAATAGGATGAACCAATGATATATGAAAGAGTTTATAACAGCTTCAGATGTATAATGGTCGCACCTTGAAAGATGGCGTTTTGAGACAAGACTTGACTAAGAAGATATATAGTATCTTCTTAGTCAGGCTCAGGCGAAGAAATGTTTTTATTAAATTGAGATTAAGTTAGAAATTTGGAGAACTGGAATCTATCACAACCTAGTTGAAAAGATGATACTAAGTAGATGTGTTACCTCGACGATGGACGGTGAAGCCAGAGTATAGTAATTGTCCTATACGGGTGAATTCACTAAATATTTGTTCAGATTCAGATGCGCGAACCGCAGTTGTTGGAAAGGTAGGTCAGGCGATTAGGGAGACGCGCAGTGCGGATGACAGATGAAGATAGTTGTCCGATACTACCGACAAAGGCGCGTTATACCTATACCTCATATTTAACTTGCACAAATTTGACTGTATTAATTATTATACAGTTTACTTTAATACTATGACTTTTATTTAGAAAGTTAGCGAATTGTCGTTATAAATCCAGTGCCTTCGGTTTATTTCGCCAAATTTTAAATGTAAATCATTATAAATTTTCAAAAACTAAGTATTTATAAAGCCCCCTGGACCGGCACTCTACTATAATGTTTTTTTTTCCTTCAAACTTAAAAATAATTAATAAGGAAATTGTAATAAAATCTGAAACTTAAATGTAATGATTATATTAAATTATATATACTCTTTGTAAGCATAGGATGGTTTTCCATTTACCTCCACGGCACTGGCATGGTGACGGCACGGCGACGACGTGACTTCATTTTTTCACTGCGACGGTGCCGGTGCTGATCTACACTCGGTTTTTGATGGGGCAGTAGCAGTATTAACACAGACTTCAGTTATACAACACGTAAAAATGGTCTCGTCAAGTCGTCGTATTTGTTTGATATATCTCTTACATTTTAGACGAAAATATAATCAACGCAGAGATGTCAAATTTTGAATTCATCCAATCTTAAAAATAAAATAGTTAGAAGGAACATATTATACCCTATTTTAAAAGTTGGAAATGGATTCTAAAAATATTTCAACTACCTACTTCCGCATGAATGCGGAGACATTTCATCATTTCAAAATCATCTTTCAAAAAAATCAATTTCTAGTCTGGTCTAAACAGTAAATTCTATAGTTTGGTCGTCAGTTGCAGATAATTCCTTCTAAAGCACATGGTAGCTGTCATCAAAAATCTCCTGAGGACATTCCAATGTTCTCAGTGCGTGCAATACGCAGTGAATGTTGTGAACAATATATGCCAGACTAGGCTGTATGGGCGTAGATCCTTTTGCCGTTAAAAATCAGGTACAGCTGGTTTTGACATTTGCGTGACGTGACGAATGACGACCTGAGTCCTGAGGGCTTGTGGTATGTAATGGTTTGTTTTGACTTTTTCTAGTTGCTGTTTGTGGTAATTGTGGTACTGGTACTGTACTGCCCAAGAGTTTATTATTATTAGAACGCTAACACGTTTTAGGCACTTCTAAGTAATTTCCTATACTGAAACTGCTGTCAAAAAAGAATTCAAGATCCAGATTATTTTTTACCAGTATAGCGTTGCTTGTTCTAGATTTTCGATCGATTGGAAACAGAGAATACTCAAAACATACAATGAAGTTAAATATAAAGACAGATATAAATAGTACAGAGACGTACAAGAAATTGTTTGCAAAATTAGAAAATCCAGATGTCACCTATCAAAATTTTGTTAAAAATTTGGCTAAGTATCACTTCCAAGTAAAGGCTGTTATGCAGGTATATATAATAAATGAATTTTTATTTAATAAATTCATAAAGATATAAATTGATATCTAAGTTATTTTTTTAAAATGTAAGTTTTTTTTTTAAATTTAAGAATATAACAGAATAACAAGTTTCATTAACTTTGTCAGGACATTTTAGACTGTAGAGATTCAATGGAAAGATTAAATTCATTAAACGAAAAAGGCAGATCATTATTAACAATGCTGAGGGAAGAATTAGACAACTTGGATTTATATGGGAGGGAAAGTGGCGACCAAAAATATGTTGTTGAGTTGGAATCACAGAGGCATTTATTAGCTGAGTATGTAATAAAATATTAAATGTCAATGGTTGTTGACTTATAAATTTGTTAAAGAATGTTTTTTTTCCAGTCTTTTGAGAGAATTTAAAGAAGCAAACATAAGTACTTTGTTTGCAATTGAGAAAGCCCAAAGAGATGAGTTATTGAAATCGAGGATTGAAGGTGATGAATCAGTTCTCCGAAAAAGGAAAAAGCAAGTGAATAGAGATGGATTGTTAAAAATGACAACAGGTTTGCAAATTGTGACAACAAATTCTCTGTTAGATATTTTGCTATAAAAATGTGATAGAACTAAATATTCTAATATCTAAAAGAATTATCATTTTATATCCTCTTACAAATATTGTAAGACGATTATGATTTGATTTGAATGAAATCTACATTATAAAATGTAATATAATCATATTTTAAAAAGAATAAAGAAATATATTTATTATTGAAAGAAAAAACAGAAGTTTTTGAGTGACAATCCACCTGATGGTCAATAGACTGTTGAGCTTGATATACCTACTCTTTTCTTAGATTTTCAAATGTTTTTCAGTTCTATAATTCTGTTACTAACTCATGTCCTCCTTATATATATCATATTTAACATAATTTGACCCAACTGATCCAGAAAGAGGGCTATGTATGTATTTAAACCAATATACATAGTATCTTTATTATCTTTTATGAATAATATGTGTATGTATTGGTCTGTTCCTTTAAGACCTATAGCCTAAATGGGTTGATGGATTTTAAAGTGGTGTATTTCTATTTGTCTTAATCTTTGAAGTTTCAAAGGGTACTTATATATTTTATGGCAGGCTTTTTGAAAGTGACTGCCTAATAAATATAATTGCCAGACAAGGCAGACATTTAAAAAACTGCCTAAGGATGAAAATGAGGTTTTCTATTCAAAAATATAGTCACAATAGCAATATGCTTTTAATTAATTTGACAATGACGAAATAGCAAGTAATGAGCGCTCAATGCGTTCGCCCTGGAGACTCTACACCATTAAGGCGCTGCACAAATGTAGAAACTTTTTGTTACCGATACAGCCCACCATCACAGAAAACCGTAGTTGTTGGTTCCGGTAGCGGCATTCAGATACACTCTGCAGTTACTATTTCTGGTCACTGATAACAATTCACTGCTTGTTTTCCATCAGTTTCACAATGGATGTCGATGAAGAAACCTTTGCTTGTTGTGTTGATTATATGTCGATGTAAAAGTTGTCGCCGTCAATATTTACGGGCAAATCAACCACGTCAACTGTCTGTCGTGCATGTGTGTGTTTCTTCAACTAATGAGTTTTAGTTCCCAGTTACCTACACCAAATACTTTTTGCTTGGTGATCAGTATGTGTCAAGTGGAAGCAACTGGACACAAAAAGTGTCTGCGTCTGCCCAGGGAGTGGCTGATTTCTTATTGATTATATGAAAATAAAATATTCACTGGTAGCTTATATCCCACACAAGACACAAAGGTGTCTATGTTTGCTCAGCGCCTTAAACTATATCATGTTGCAGCCTTAAACAAACATGATGGTGGTTAGTCATGCATGCACAATAGAATTTAGTAATACAACTGGCATAGGCCATCATGCGTGTAGCATTTTTAGAAGTGGTAGAGCTATACTGCATCTATATCACTTCATTTTTCGATTTAAGAAAACCTCCAAATGTTTACCATCTCTTCGTACACATTCTTCTAATCGGACATGCAAATTTGCAAACACTTTCTTGCAGAGTTGCGAGATATTGTTTATTTTTATTTTCTTTCAGCATCGCTGGTGTTTGTGGTTTGTTTGAATAAACTTTGGACATAATTCCACAGAAAATAATCACATGGTTTGAGGTCGGGCGACCTGGGTGGCCAGCAGATGTCTACAAACCTTGATATCAATTTTTGTGGCAAAAGTGCCTTTACCGTGTCCGTCGCATCTCTAGAGGTATGGGTAGTGGCTCCATCCTGTTGAAACCATGTGTTTCTGTTAAAACAGCGTTCCGTTTTTACAATAGGAGCAAAAAAATTGTCGATCATGTTCTTATATCGCTCCGAATTGACCGTCAAAGTATGACTGTTCTCATTCTCAAAAAAATACGGCCCCATAACCCCACAGAGGTAGAGGCAAACAGTCACCTTTGGACTATGTAACTGTCGTTGATGTCTCTCTTTTGGGTTTGTTGGTGCCCAATATCTGCAATTTTGTTTATTGACATAGCCCTCCAAATGAAAATGGGCCTTATCACTAAAAACAACGTTATTGAGTCTACGCTGTGTAGGAAAAACTTCCAACATCTTTTCAGCACAAGATTTCCGTAATAAGTAATCACCTTCTTTTATTAAAGCTTGCACTAACTGTATTTAATAGGGATGCAAAGTCATTTGTTTACTATGACGTGAACTGTTGACTTAGGGATTCTAAAAACAACCAAATGCTTCCCTAAAGAACAACGCGGATTTGCAAGGACCGAATCACTTACTCGGCGCACATTTTCCTGAGTTCATACAGTAGGTGTGCGGCCTGGAATGGATTGATTAATGGTAGAACCCGTCTCACGAAATTTTTTTTTTTTTATAGGAGAGGGGGCAAACGAGCATGCGGCTCACCTGATGGTAAGTGACTACCGCCGCCCATGAACAACTGCAACACCAGGGGAATCGCAGATGCGTTGCCGGCCTTTTAAAAAGGAGTACGCTCTTTTCTTGAAGGTCCCTAAGTCGTATCGGTCCGGAAAAATCGCTGATGGTAATCGATTCCACAAGGAGGTCGTGCGAGGAAGAAAACATCTTCTAAATCGCACAGTGGTGGACCGCCAATCATCCAGATGGTGTGGATGGTATCGGGAGTTCTGCCGCGATGTGCGTTCGTGAAATTTGGCGGCTGGGATTAATCCGAACAATTCCTCAGAGCACTCCCCATGGTAGATGCGAAAGAAAATGCAAAGGGATGCAACATCTCTTCGCAGTGCCAATGAATCGAGCCGATCGGAAAGGGCTTGGTCGTCGACGATTCGAGCAGCTCTGCGTTGGATGCGGTCAAGTGGAAGGAGCTGGCACTGGGGAGCCCCTGCCCAGAGATGGGAACAGTATTCCATGTGAGGCCGAACTTGCGCCTTGTAAAGTTGCAGGCGGTGTGCCGGCATGAAATACTGTCCCGCTCTGCTGAGCACGCCAAGTTTTTTAGAGGCCAATTTGGCCTTCCCTTCCAAGTGACCACAAAACTGCACGTCACTCGATATGTCGACTCCGAGGATACCGATACTGGCTGAGGCAAGAAGGGGAGTGCCTTGAAACTGAGGAGATACGACAAAGGGGTTCTTTTTAGCGGTAAACGCGCAAACTTGTGTCTTCTGAGGATTAAACTGGACTAGATTTAGTCGCCCCCAATCCGAGACTTTGCTCAGCGAAGACTTGACTTCAGACACAAGTTTGTTCCGGTACTCAGCGACGTTTTCCCGAGAAATATTAGCACGGCCGGTGTATAGAGCATCAGCAGTGCTGTCATCCGCATAGCAATGAATGTTACCAGTTAGCAACATATCATTGATATGCAGAAGAAACAGCGTTGGTGATAGCACACAGCCTTGTGGAACACCAGCGTTAATAGGCTTGTAGTCAGAGCATGCACCGTCTACAACGACCTTGATGCTCCGATCTGCAAGGAAGCTGGTGATCCAATTGCACAATTTCTCGGGAAGCCCATAGGAAGGGAGCTTCGAAAGAAGCGCTTTGTGCCAAACCCGATCGAAAGCCTTCGCAATGTCCAGACTAACGGCCAACGCCTCCCCCTTGGACTCAACTGCCTCCGCCCATCTATGGGTCAGGTAGACCAGAAGATCACCAGCTGATCGACCCCGACGAAAACCGTATTGGCGGTCACTAATCAGCTGGTGATCCTCAAGGTACCGAATGAGCTGGCAGTTAATAATGGATTCCATTATTTTGGAGAACAAGGAGGTGATCGCGATAAGCCTATAGTTGGATGGGTCTGAGCGGTCGCCTTTTTTAGGGATCGGGTGGACAAAAGCTGTCTTCTATGAATTCGGGACTACGCCTTGGGAGTAGGAGTACCGGAAAAGACGGCGTTAGGACCGGTGCCAACTCCGGAGCACACGTCCTCAGCACAATTGGGGGGATTCCGTCAGGCCCACTCGACTTCTGGATGTCCAGGGAGAGCAGTGGTTTGCGAACCGAGCGCTGTGAGAACAGCACATCCGGCATGGAGCACTCACACCGCGGGATGGTCGGCGGTGTTTCCCCCCCGTCATCAAGAGTCGAGTTGGACGCAAAAAGGGAGCCTAAAAGATCGGCTTTGTCTTTTGCGTCATGGGCCAGTGAGTCATCCTCCCTGTGCAGAGATGGTAGTGATGGCTTACAGAAATTCCCTTGGACAGCCTTGGCGAGAGACCAGAATGCACGGGTTCCCGAAGGAAGGCGAACTAGTTTCTCGCCAATTCTGTCTATGTGCTCTGACTTTGCCTTGGCAATAACTCTTTTGAAGGACCTGGAGGCAAAGTTATACTTCTTTTTAAGTGTGCTGGTGTTTACATCCCGAGTCGCCGAAGCCGCAGCCCAGGCTTGATAACACTCCTGCTTACTGCGTAATGCAGTCTTACAGGAGCGACCAAACCAAGGCTGAGATCTGCCTCCGATGGGTACCACAGATGATGGAATAAATAGTTCCATTCCCTGTAGCACCACATCAGTGACAGAGTCAGCAACAAACCTGCCCCCATGGGTAGGATGCAAAGAAAGACCGCATTCCGTCCCAATCCGCCGACCTGTAATGCCAAACACGGCGGCAACCTGCAGAACGCAACCGTGAAGGGAAGCGTGAGTGGCACCACACTCCGGATCAGACAATGGTCCGAAGAGCCGAGAGGGGCATCGACGGAAACCTGATATCCGTCCGGATGAGAGGTCAGCAGAAGGTCCAACAGGGAAGGTGTATGATCCTCCACATCTGGAATCCGCGTAGGCGAAGTAACCAGTTGTGTCAGACCATATGCCAAGGCAAAGTCATAAACAGATCTCCCCGCATGATCGGTTAGACGTGGACCGAGCCATTCGGCATGGTGGGCGTTAAAATCGCTAAGGATCACGATCTCTGCGGATGGGACCTGTTGTAGCAAGGAATCTGTAGCCATTTGGACGTGGTCGATGAGTCGGTCTGTTTCGGCATTACCGCTATGGGATCTATAGAGGCACCCGTAGACGCGCGGATGGTCGTCGCTGTCTACGCGTAGCCAAAGGATGGACAGGTCCGAACCTTCAAGACTGCCGAGGCTTCGAGAACAGATGTCCTCTCTGACATACACGCAAACTCCAACCCGAGGCACAAAGGAATGCTCCAATTTGTACCCCGGGTAGGAGAGATACGAAATATCAGCCGGAGAGGAAACCTGCGTCTCGGTCAGAAAGAGCAAGGCCGGCTTCGCCGTCTCGAGATGGTAGTGGACGGCGTTTAGGTTAGAGTGAAGTCCCCTGATGTTGCAGAAATTCACGGATAGCGTGGCAGGGGTCGCCTTGGTGTTCTTGCTCAGTTTGCCCCTAGCAGTTATGCTTTTGAGCGGAATTTTGCCCCCCCCCCCCCCCCCCCCCCCCAGAATACGCGGGGCAGCCTGAGCACCCACGCTCAGGATCGGAATAACATGGTTGTGGATGCTCAGCGAGGGATTCTCCAGGGGTACTGGTACCCTCCTGGGGTAGTTCATCGTGTAATTCCGCTACCATGTTGATGGTGTGTGGGGGGGGGGGGGGGGAATTGGGCCTCCGGCCACCTGCACTCACCAGACGAAACGCAGAAGCAGAGCTTCTACTTCACCAACGGTGAGGTCGTGGTACCAACCCGGCTCGAGCCGGCCCATACATGCAACAGCAAAAACTGCTGCGTGGCTCTACCACCGTTAAAAAATTTTTTAATCGACTTTTTTAAAAGGTTTACACTTGGCGAATATTGTATTGAGAATTTCTGAAGCGCAGCAGTGCACGAGTCACCACTCTTAAAGTAAGCTTCGACAGCAAAAGCACGTTACGCTCCGGTCCAACGCTCCATCGCGACTGACGTCTGTTAAGCCCGCAGACCGTCTGTTAAGACGCCTGACGCGTCAGTTGAAACCTCTCACTACATAACCGCGCTAACCGTTGCTACGTAATTCAAATTTGAAAATTGAACTTTCCTACTAAACACCCGGTACAATGGTTGTAGCACAAATGGGTTGACTCGACCAGGGGAGAACTACATTCCCATAGAATACCAACGTCAATATCAGCTTAATGCTGCTGTGTTTTGTATGGTGAGTGTAGAGAACTGGAGACCCTTTTTACTGGAAACAAGGCATTCCATCTTATTTCTCACGGGTGACAACGCATCTGCATTTTGATTCTTAATGAAGGATAGCTGTCGATGTCTATGGGCCACAGCATCCACTTACCATCAGGTAGACTGTGCTTGCATCTCACCCTTATTCTATAAAAAAGCATGCGTGTGCTAGTATAGTAGTCAGTAGCTATAATGTAAATCTTGTCGCGAACCCTACCGTCAACTGGCGAACCCCTAAGTGTTCGCGTAAGGCGTTTTATGGTAATAACACTAATGTTACACATGAACATGACATGTTTATTTATTCTATGATAGATAACACGTAGTCGGGTTTTTTAGTGTTTAATAATAATTCACTTGCAATTAATGTATAATATCATGTTGCGTAATTATTGTCAGGTGTGACAGACCAGTTGCTCTCTATAAGTAGACAGTTAGCTGACACAACACAAAGGAGTCAAGTTACTCTCGACAGCTTAGTGTCATCTAGTTCTACAGTACATGTAAGTATCATACATTTTTTATATTATCATATCTGAATATATTTGTATGAAGCTTTTTTTAACCGACTTCAAAAAAGGAGGAGCTACTCAATCGACTGTATTTTCTATGTGTGTTACATCAGAACTTTTTTCTAGGTTAACCGATTTTAATGATTCCTTTTTTATTTAAAAGCTGGTGCTTCTCATGCAGTCCCTTATTAATTGGATCAAGATCTGACTAGTAGTTTTTGAGTTATCCCTAATAATAGCTATTAAGTTGACTTCGACTACATTCCATTTTTTAGGAGAGGGTGCAAACGAGCATGCGGCTTACCTGATGGTAAGTAACTACCGCCGCCCATGAACAACTGCAACTGAGTAGGCTCTTTTCATGAAGGCCCCTAAGTCGTAACGGTCCAGAATAATAGCTGGTGGTAATCAATTCCACAAGGATGATGATGATTTTATAAAGATGGTGTTTTAATTTTATTTATATTGAAGTCGCTTGTTCAAAATTTTAATTTTATCACTTGTTGATTATTTACTTATGTGATAATATTGGAGACATATTAAGTGTTTGTGAAATCACAGAGACATTTGTACAAACTGTTAAAGGAAAGTTTAGACTACCAGTGTAAGGGCGTTCGCGCATTCTTGTAATGATAGTTGTTCATTAAAGTATAAAGACTATGGCTGGCTGCTGACGGTAGAGACGATGATAACAACCGACTTTTAGTCATAGACATACAGATTATATAATTATTTTCAAACTCATTGTAAGGTCATTCTGCATAAATCGAACCAAAAATTAATATTCTCAAATATTTAAAGTATATATTTTTTTATTTATTTAAGTAAGTGTGACAAACGCATAAAAATAAATTTTACGGCATGAGGATGCTGTAACCAGACACCTGTTGATCATAATGTAGATTCTTTGAATTACAATGTAGATTCGATGTCACCAGTGAGGACTAAGGCAGAATGCATCATTATTAGTGCAAAAGGTCTCCGGTTTTCGTTACTCTCCAAAGGAAATGCAGCAGTAATATGCTGCAATGTTACGCTGATAATACTACGAGAGCGTGGTTCTTCTCCGGACTTACCAACTAATTCGTACTACAGCAATAATAACTGCTGCAGCGTGGCTGAACCCCATAAAAATATTTCATCTTGACATTGGATCGAATTGAAACAAAACTTCTTTTAAAATGATTTATGCGCTACTTTTTCGATTTAGTTTATCTTCTAGAGCTAGAGTATTTGTTGTTTGTGATTCAATCGATTAACTCACAGAAATTAGAATGTGTTAGTTTGACTAACTAAAGTCCGATAAACAAATGGTTGATTTTGTTGCAGGGGACTCAGTCGGAACTAGAAAATACGGCCGGAACCATTTCCCAATCAAGTAAACTCTTAAACAAATACGGTAGACGAGAGTTTACAGATAAAGTGATAATGTTTTTTGCATTCCTCTTTTTCTTGGCTGTGTGTTTGTACATTGTTCAAAAGAGATTATTCTAATTCGTGTTTATGTGTATAGTAAATAATTTATTTATGAAATAATGTACGCATTATTAATTAATATAAATATATTATTTTGACTGGTATTAAACTATTAAGTAAGTAAAATTGTCTTTTTGTTTTACACCTAATTTAATACGCATTTAAAGAGAGAATTGAAATTGTGTAATGTTTTACTTTAATATTAGCCGGCTAAACAAAATCTTCAGCCCTTAGATCAACAAATAAAGGAAGACGAAACGCTACGTTCATTTTAGGGTGAAGCAAAGACCATGCTCAACTTCTTGACACGCACTCACGCACACATCTTTCTTATTCCTTTCTTTAACTACCCGCAAAAGTTATTTACACCTAAAACTATATTGATGGTTGCACATGATTTTAGATGTAAGTGTTCTTACAATTAGCTGAGTATAGTCACTTATACTTTTGGGAGTAGAGGACGGCCCAAGAAACGCTGGCTTAATGTCGTGCAGGATGACATGCGCGCCAATGGGCGAATTGTGAGGGACGCCGAAGACCGGGCAAAGTGGAGGAGGAAGTGTTGGAAAGCGGACCCTGGGTTCTCCCGCGCTGGGCGGGATGAGCAACCGGGATAAACGCTAGGTAGAAGAAGAAGAAGAAGAAGTCACTTATACTTTTGGATTATGCGTCACTTGTAATGTACGTAGCGCTCCGTCTCTGTTTATTTTTTCAACCGACTTCATAAAGGAGGAGGTACTCAATTCGACTGAATGTTTTTTTACGTGTCTCCTAATTTTTTCTCGGTGAATGATTTCTATGATTCTTTTTTTATTTGAAAGCAGGTGCTTCTTATGTAGTAATATATAAATTTGATCAAGGTCTGATCAGTAGTGTCTGAAGTCTGTACAACATTTCTAATTTTACCACTTTTTGTTTTGAGGTCTATCCTTATAATTTATTGAACTAGCGTAGTCCAGTAGCTTTCTCATCCCTGACTTCGATACAATTTTTTTATTGCTATTTTCTCTGAAACTAACGATTTCATTTTCATCTAGTTCATTTCATTCTCTAAAGTGAACATTCTATCAAAGTTTCTTAGGTACGTAATAAACGTATTCCCAAATTAAATTGAACCATGGCCAGATTAGTTATAGTTTATGAAATAAATATACAAATTAATTAAAGCACATTAGTCTATTGTGTTTCGTAATAATGATTGTGTTGTCTAACTATACGTCATACAAACGAAATACAAGTTACAGTGAATAAATTATGTCTACTAGCCGTGGGTGTCATCAGTCAGTCGGTGATACTGAGCAGTTTGATCTCACGTTCTGGACGTTCAGTTTCGTGGTCACTTGGAAGAGAAGGCCAAATTAGCCTCTAAAAAGCTTTGGTGTGCTTAGCAGAGTGGGACAGTATTTCATGCTGGCACACCGCCTGCAACTTTACAAGGTGCAGATTCGGCCTCACATGGAATACTGTTCTCATCTCTGGGCTGGGGCTCCCCAGTGCCAGCTCCTTGATCGCATCCAGCGCAGAGCGATTCGAATCATTGACGACCGAGTCCTTTCCGATCGGCTTGATTGAAGAGACGTTGCATCCTTTTGCATTTTCTTTCTTTCTTTTGGGGAGTGCTCTGAGGAATTGTTCGGATTAATCACAGCCGCCAAATTTCACGAACGCACATCGCGGCATATCTCCCGATACCATCGACACCATCTGGATGCTTGGCGGTCCAACACTTTAAGTTTTAAAAGGAGTTTTCTTCCTCCTACGATCTCTGTGTGGAATAGTTTATCACCGGTGATTTTATTTGAATGGTTGGCTTCATTCAAAAAGACGTTGGATAAAACTTACATTACCTTATTATTTTATTTATTTTTATAATCTTATTACCCTATGGTGAGAACAAGTCCGTAACATTTGTCAAAATAACCTTATCTTTTGTGAATTGTGTCACTGCTTCATTATTTTACAAGAGTGGACATAAGTAAAGAATATTCTATCCTAAAATTATTTTTTTGCGATTTATTGAAATTTTTAAGAAATGTTTCTCCTCAAACCTCTGACACGCGGTCAATTAGCACTTAAAATTTCAATAAAAATGTCGGTGGTTTTGAATGCCGTTGGCAATCCGTAATTTGATTTGCAGTAGTTGGGTAGGTACTTCATCATCATCATCATCATCATCATTACAGCCCTTCACAAGTCCACTGCTGAACATAGGCCTCCCCCAAAGAATGCCACAAAGCACGGTCCTGAGCCACCTGCATCCATCGACTTCCTGCATATCTTACCAGGTCGTCACTCCATCTAGTGGGGGGACGCCCTACACTTCGCCTGCCGGTACGAGGCTGCCACTCGAGAACCTTTCTTCCCCATCGGTTGTCGGTTCTTCGAGCTATATGGCCGGCCCATTGCCACTTCAGCTTACTAATCCGTTGGGCTATGTCGGTCACTCTAGTTCTACTGCGGATATCCTCATTTCTGAGTTTATCACGCAGAGAAACTCCGAGCATAGCCCTCTCCATAGCTCGCTGAGCGACCTTGAGCTTCCTCATCCGGCCAGCAGTGAAGGACCACGTCTCAGTTCCGTATGTCATCACTGGCAACACGCACTGGGTGTACAGTCTCGTTTTCAAGTTTTGAGGTATACCTGACGAGAAGATGTGCCGTAATTTCCCGAACGCTGCCCAACCGAGTTGAATCCGTCGATTGACCTCTCGGTCGAAGTTGGACTTACCTAGTCGGACTATTTGTCCCAGGTAAACATACTCGTCAACAACTTCGAGCTTACTGTTCCCAACAACTACCGGCATAGGTGTGACATGGACATTAAACATGATCTTTGTTTTGTCCATGTTCATCTTAAGACCTATCCGTTGGGAAACACTATTGAGGTCATTGAGCATAGTGCTTAGGTCCTCCAGCGATTCTGCCATAAGGACTATATCGTCGGCAAATCGAAGGTGAGTGATGTACTCGCCATTGATGTTGATACCGTATCCTTTCCAGTCCAGAAGCTTGAAAACATCTTCCATTGCAGCGGTAAAGAGTTTCGGGGATATGACGTCACCCTGTCTTACACCTCTCTGCAATTGGATAGGTTTCGTACTCTGGTTCTGTACTCGGATAGCCATCGTAGCCCTACTGTACAAGCACTTCAACACTTCGATATACCGACAGTCAACTTGGCATCGCTGAAGGGACTGCAGCACCGCCCAAATTTCGACGGAATCAAAGGCTTTCTCATAGTCCACATACGCCAGACATAGTGGCAAATTGTACTCCTCGGACTTCTGTACAATTTGCCGAGGAGTATGTATGTGGTCTATGGTGCTAAAGCCTTTTCGGAAACCGGCTTGTTCGGGAGGCTGGAAGTCGTCAAGTCTGCGCGCGAGACGATTCGTAATGACTCTCGAAAACAGCACGTAGACGCGGCTCAGAAGGGAAATCGGTCTGTAGTTCTTCAAGAGAGCGTTGCCGCCTTTCTTGAAGAACAAGACCACCGCACTTCTGCTCCACGCCTCCGGTGTAATGCCACCATGGAGGACGGAATTACAGAGTTTCTGAAGGACTTCAAGTACCGGTTTTCCACCCGCTTTCAGAAGCTCCGCTGTAATTCCATCCTCGCCTGGGGCCTTGCCATTTTTAAGGTGCTGGAGAGCCATTTTAATCTCGCTCAGACTGACGTCCGGGATATCATCGGAATAATGTCGGATAAGACTCGCTCTTGGATCGTTACTCACACTTGCGTGCGGCTCCAACGATGACGTGTACAGCTGCCCATAGAACCTCTCAATCTCACTCAAAATCTCAGGTGCCCCGGAAACGATGCTGCCACACTCTGTCTTCAGCTTTGACAGTTGGCGCTTTCTGGCAGACAGATCTCTGGCAAAGACTTTGGAGCCTTGGTTCCGCTCGATCGTTTCTTCAATACGAACTGTATTGAATTTGCGTAAGTCCCGCCGCATGCATTTGGAGATCTGTCTGTTCAGTTGCCTGTATGCTGTTAAATCTGTTGAAGAATGTAGCTTCATCTCCCGTCTAACAACCATGAGATTAAGAGTGTGATCGGAGAGTTTTTGTGTTCTTCTGCGGCGGGTCTTGCAGAACTTAGCTCCGACCGCATGGACAGTTTCCACGAGCTTGTCATTCACTTCATTGCAGTCTTCTAGGCACTGAAAACGGTTTTGTAACTCGAGCTGAAAGGTTTCGGGACTTTGGATTAGAGCACGAGGGGGACGGAGCGTTGACTTCATTAGACGAGACCTCTCCAACTTAACGTTTAGGTTCAGTGTGCCTCTAACCATTCGGTGATCGCTACCGGTTTTCACCCTCGCGATCACTGAGACATCACTGAACAGTTGTCGTCTGGTCGTCATAATGAAGTCAATCTCATTTTTTGTCGAACCGTCGGGGCTCGACCAGGTCCACTTCCTGTGGGGCCGCTTCTGGAAGAAAGAGTTCATCATAAAGAGTCCCTCTTTCTCCATGAAGTCAGCCAACTGCTGGCCCCTTGGGTTCCGTTGCCCTATTCCAAATTTCCCTACTTTCAGCTCACCGTTCTCTCTTGTGCCTAGTTTTGCATTGAAGTCTCCCATTAACACCGTATATTGGGTTTTGGAGGAATGCATGGCTCTAGAGATATCCTCATACATTTCCTCCACCTCCTGATCGGGGTGTGCCGAGGTTGGTGCGTAAACCTGTATGACCTTCAGCGAATACCGTTTGGTGATTCTGAGTATAAGGTACGCAACCCTCGTCGACACACTCTCAATCTTTACAACGTTGTTAACGAGAGACTTGTGGACGATAAATCCGACACCTCCTTGGGACAGATGGTCGCCCTCCCGGTAATAGAGCAAGTTGCCGGATTCGAGGATTACCGTGTCCTCCCCCTCTCTTCGGACTTCGGATAATCCTATAATATGCCAGCGTAACTTGTCTATCTCTTCTTCCAGCTCCACAATCTTCTCGTCAGTCCTCAGGGTGCGTGCGTTGTATGTTGCCAGGTCGAGTCGTCGTAGGTG